TAGTAGTAGTAGTAATACTGGTAGTAGTAGTAGTAGTAGTAGTAGTAGTAGTAGTCGTAGTAGTAGTAGTAGTAGTAGTAGTAGTAGTAGTAGTAGTAGTAGTAGTAGTAGTAGTAATAGTCGTAGCGTAGTAGTCGTAGTCGTAGTAGTAGTAGTAGTAGTAGTAGTAGTAGTAGTAGTAGTAGTTGTAGTAGTAGTAGTAGTAGTAGTAGTAGTAGTAGTAGTAGTAGTAGTAGTAGTAGTAGTAGTAGTAGTAGTAGAGTAGTAGGAGTAGTAAATTTAGTTGTGGTAGTGGTGGCGGCTGCAGTAGCAATAGTCGTAGTAGTGGTAGTATTGATGGCAGTAGGTGTAATCGTCGTCGTCGTCGACGTCGTGGTAGTAGTAGTGGTAGTAGTAGTAGTAGTAGTAGTAGTACTAGGAGTAGTAGTAGTAGTAGTAGTAGTAGTAGTAGTAGTAGTAGTCGTAGTAGTAGTAGTAGTAGTAGTAGTAGTAGTAGTAGTAGTAGTAGTGTCGAGGTGGTCGTAGACGAAGTAAACGTTGTACTTGCAGTATTACTAGTAGTAGTAGTCGTATTGGTAGTAGTAGTAGTAGTAGTAGTAGTAGTAGTAGTAGTAGTAGTAGTAGTAGTTTTAGTTTTAGTAGTAGTAGTAGTAGTAGTCGTAGTAGTAGTGGTGGTGGTGGTGGTGGTAGTAGTAGTACTACTACCATTTTAATTCGTAGTCGAAATAGGAGTAGTAAAAGCAGTAGTACTAGTAGCAGTAGTAGTAGGCGCCGTCGTATCAGTAGTATTCGTAGTCGTAGTCGTAGTAGTAGTAGTAGTAGTAGTAGTAGTTGCGTCGTCGTCGCCGTCGTCGTCGTCTTGGCCGACGTGGTCGTCGTCGTCGTAGTAGTAGTAGTAGTAGTAGTAGTAGTAGTAGTAGTCGTAGTCGCAGTAGTAGTATAAGAAGTAGTAGTAGTAGTAGTAGTAGTAGTAGTAGTAGTAGTAGTAGTAGTAGTAGTAGTAGTAGTAGTAGTAGTAGTAGTCGTAGTAGTCGTAGTAGTAGCAGTAGTCGTAGTAGTAGTAGTAGTAGTAGTAGTAGTAGTAGTAGTAGTAGAGTAGTAGTAGTAGTAGTAGTAGTAGTAGTAGTAGTAGTAGTAGTAGTAGTAGTAGTAGTAGTAGTAGTAGTAGTAGTAGTAGTAGTAGTAGTAGTAGTAGTAGTAGTAGTAGTAGTAGTAGTAGTAGTAGTAGTAGTAGTAGTAGTAGTAGTAGTAGTAGTAGTAGTAGTAGTAGTAGTAGTAGTAGTAGTAGTAGTAGTAGTAGTGAGAGTAGTAGTCAGAGTGGTTGAGAGAGTATTCGGAGGAGGAGGAGAGAGAGGAGGAGAGAGGAGGAGTTGGAGGAGGAGGAGGAGGAGCATGAGGAGGAATAGGAGGAGGAGGAGGAGGAGAAGGAGGATGATGCGGAAGGACCAAAGGCTGAAAAGGGGGAGGAGGCTTGCGTCTCGGGTATCGTGTGATATCGCTCCCGTGCTCAGATGATTTTCGCGTGTTCTTGTGCGTGAGCGGCGTGTCCCGTGAAAGCGTGCGGCCGAGGCCCGGATCGGTGCGGAGTGGAGAAAAGAGGCGACCAAATCGTTCAACAACAGGGACTTCGACGCCAAAGGCCTGGCAGACGCCCCTCCCTTCGTCTCGGGCGAAAGGCAGCTGTGCACATGCGCCGATGCTGTCCCCAGGGTCGGTGCACGTGCCTCCCCGGCCGAGCGGAGAGGGCCGGCGCGCCGATCCTGGGCCCGGGGTGGGCACGGCCTCTGTCGGTGCGTGTGCATGGTGAGGTTCCTCTGCCGTCTCCTCTCGCTGCCCTGTGCGCCCCCCGCCCCCCCGTCCTCCCCCCCTCCCTGGTAGTGGGCTTTGACGTTTCCTTCTCCTCCTCGGGGCCGCTCGGTGCGGCGGAACGCTTTGGTCGCCACGGCCAGATGTCCCCCTCTCGAAATCCTGGCCAGACCACGCTCCCAACAGAGGTCGGGGCTGTCCCCCCCCCTCTGGCATCCAGGCGTCGCCGCGGTACAGGCGACGAGGCCACCCGCCCCGGCGCGCTCGCGGGTCGATGCGGCTCGAAAGATCTTGCATGCGTTCTGCTCCGAGCGCTGCCCGCTGGAGACTCACGGGAGGCCGCTCCCCGGGGAGCAACCGGGCCCCTTGCTGGGGCCCGGCGGCTGCGGCGTGCAGTCGCTGTGCGCTCGAGACGCGCGGCAGGATGCCCAGAGAGCGCGGGGACCTCCTCCTCCTCCTCCTCCTCCTCCTCCTCCTCCATCTCCTCCTCCTCCCTCTCCTCCTCTTCCTCCTGTTCCCTCTTCCTCATTCTCCCCTGCACCTCCTCCTGGCGCGGCGGACGCGGCATGCAATGGTGTGCGATGTGGGTCGGGGGGCGTGCTTCCCCGACGTGGCGCCCCGGCCCGTCGGGCGGGGAAGAGCGGTGTCGACAGCGCCGATCGGAGATTATTTGCGGCCTCTGCTTTTCACACGACGTCCGATGTGCGCAGGCTTGTCGGTGCCACAGGGAAGCTCGGAGAGGTGGCTGGGGCCAGGGCCCGACCTGAACGGTGTTTTGACGTGGTTTTGATGGATTTCGTTTGCAGTTTTCGTTTCGACTTCGCAATGCCGCTAAAGCTGCATATTAGAAGAGGGCAGTGGCAGGTTGGGACATACAAGCTTGGCGCACGTGGCTCCCGCACTTGGGGAGGGGGGGAAGGGTGATGGGACAGGGGAAACCTAAGATCAATGCAAATCGCGTTGCGAATGATCCATGTCCTCGTCCTCGGAGCTTGCCAGCGAGGCGAACTGCATACCCTGCCAAACCAGAACTGAACATGCTGCCGTCCAGTGACGCATCAACGTCCGCTTCCATCCCGCCTCCCAGGCGTCATTATTGTTTCTCTCGTTATGTAACCTTCCTGTGAAGGTAGCAACCTTTTCAGCTCGAGGGACTTCATGTTGAACGCCAGGGCCGAGAAAGAAGGACTTGGAGTGAGATCTGCTGCCGTGTCTCCTGCTCCTGCCGCTGCTTCTATTTATCCTCCCCCTGCTTCTTTTTCTCCTCCTTCCTCTCCTCCTTCCCCTATTATTTTCTCAAATGTCCTCCCTTTCGCTCCCCGCTTCTCGCTCTTTGCTTGTGCATCCTTCTTCCAGCGGGGGAGGGGGGAAAGAGAGAGAGAGAACTAAACAAACAACGAGAGAGAGCCAGAGAGAGCCAGAGAGAGCCCGCGGATAGGTGCGCGCGGTACCTTGCCGCTGCATCCAGCCCACCCCGACAGCAGTTCGGTTGGGCTGTGATGTCACGCAGGGGGCGCGGCCCCATGCCCACGGAGCTCCCTGGGTCGTCGACGGGGCCCCCGATTCCCGAGGGGGGGGGAGGGGGGGGCGAACCTGTGCCTGGTGCCGCCCCGCCCTCCCCCGAGGAGGAGGAGGAGGAGCAGCAGCAGCAGCAGGAGGGAGGAGGAGGATGAGGAGGAGGAAGGGGAGGGGGAGGAGAAGGAGGAGGAGGAGGAGCAGCAGGAGGGAGGAGGAGGAGGATGAGGAAGGGGAGGGGGACGAGGAGGAGGAGGAGGAGGAGGACCAGTGCAAACCCAACACTCATCAACGAATCAACGATGTTAGGATGCACCCTCCCTCCAAGCTCCTTCTTTATGGGTTTCTACAATGGTTCATTTCCAGTGAGGGAAGTGCCACGTTTGGGGAGAACGGTGTGAAACATCCTGAAGCGTGCCAAAACAACATTATCAGGACGTCAACGCAACGCCACGAGTTGACCTGACTGGCACGTCTTGGCGATCCTGAACCCTGCCAGAGCATCATTCCTGGACCGTAAATACGCGAATCAACGCGATTGGTGCGCCCTGTCAATCCTAAATCGTTTCAACACTATTTCTGGTTCGCTGACCATGGGAGTCCGTGGAACTCTTGCAAACTGTTCGAACGAATGTGCGCGGCGCTAAGGCGAGAACCACATTTTGAAACGGAACCGCCCTCAATCCGTGAAGCCCTGGCGATGTTTTAAAACGAATGTGCGCGGTGCACAGGAAAGAGCCACTCTTTGAACAGGAACCGCTCTCAATCCGGGAAGCTCTTGCAACTGTTTAAAACGAATGTGCGCGGCGCTTAGGCGAGAGCCACACTTTGAAAACGACCTGCCCTCAATCCGTGAAACTCTGTCTTTTTTTGAAGACGACTGTGCGCGGCGCTAAGGCGAGAGACACATTTTGAAAACGACCTGCCCTCAATCCGTTCAATTCTTGCATTTTTCGCAAACGAATGTGCGCGGCGCTAAGGCGAGAGCCGCATTTTGGAAGTTACCCTCCCTCCATCTGCGAACCTGTTGCCAAGCGTCAGGATCATAGAAGGTGAGGAAGTCTCAGGCGAAACGCCCAGCCCGCCCCTTCGACTGGCCTCGGGGTGCGACAGGGAGGAGTTGTCTGTAAGAAAAAAGAAAGGAGGAGGAGGAGGAGGAGGGGGATGAGAAGGAGGAGGAGGAGGAGGAGAAGGAGGAGGAGGAAAAGGAGCTCACTATGGGGCCTTCGGTGGAGCTCCCTATGTGGCCACGAAACGCTGTGCTGGGTGTGGCGGACGCATGCGCCACCCTCCACTGGGGCCTTCGGTGGAGCTCCCTATGGGGCTACGAAGCGTGTGAGAGGTGTGCCGAGAGCAAAGGCAAGGAGGGGGAGGAGGGAGGAGGGGGAGGAGGGAGCAGGGAGGAGAGAGGAGGGAGAGGATGCTAGGGACGAGGGGGGAGAGAGAGGAGGTAGGGCATGAGGAGCCTCACGGCTATGCGCCCCGTCCGCCGCTTGATGTTGGTTCAGCGGGGCCGGGTGTCGTTTCCAGTTGTTGCGCGCAGGTGGCTCAGAAGATGCCAGTTGTCCAAGCGATGCTGGGGCGCAGAGTGGTTGCACCCTTTGACGCCTGTTCCTGGGTGTCTGCAGACCTGACCCTTCGGCCCTGCACAGTGCTGGGACCATTTCAGGGCGCATTTC